GTTTGAAGTGAACGGGGCGCGTCTCCGGCCCTTGGCCCCCCGGGGGCTGCGGGGTGCCCAGCCACTCTAGATGCCCTAGTGGGTACTATGGTTAATTATATCTCAGGTTTTCTATGCCTCTGAACAGGGAAAGGGTCAGATACAGGAACGAAAAGGAACTTGCATAACACTGGCAGATACAGAAATCTACCTTGTTGGGTTACAAAGCTGGCAGAAAAACTTCAGATCACCCTTTGATTAACTTCTATTTTCCAATAATAGATTCAGACTGATAGAGTTATGTACATCAATTTTTTGATCACTTAAACAATATTTTTGTGAAAAACATATTGACAAAGTTCATCATTCAATGAATAAACAGGAATTTTGAGGGAGAAGGAAAAGAGATAATAAACGTGTATGTGGACAACGCATTTTGAAGTTCAGTTACTGGGTGAGGTCCAGCACAGACACCAGCACAGATACCACTACATGGTTGAAGGAGCTGACTGACATGGAAAATGTCTTTGAGTTGTCCAGTGCAGACTGGTACTGATGAAGTTATTAGCTTTCTTTGGCATTTTAAGACTAGTGACATTGATGGGTACAACTGACAAAAGGTCCAACAAAAAAGACCAAGCTTCAGCTGGATAGGCAAACAATATTTGTCCAATACTGGACAGAAGTGCTGACTGATGCAGTGAGATGCACAACAGTGTTTAAGCATCGGGAAAGAAAGAGAGGGATGAGAGGTAAGAACTCCTTTCAGTGATGCTTCTGCAGATGTTCCTCCCTTTCTGAGAGAACTGAGGCACAGAAGTGCTGGGCATTTCATGTTTATGTACATCTTCATCCTCTGTGAAATCAACAGTGCTCAGCAAAGTTCCAGATCCATGGGGTTGCCTCAAACCTCAGACATGTCTCACTTGGAATTTCAAGGCCTTGAGACCTTAGAAGAGGCTCAAGAGGAAGGAGAAAGGTCATTTTTTATGGTGCTAATCTCACCAAGGATCTGCTTTTCTGCCACTCAGATCTGTTGTGGTTCACTCCAAAGGAAAAGAAGTAGCTGGAAACACTTAGGATGTACAAGACTAATTCGTGATCTCTTGCAGAAAAAGTATTTGTGACTGCTAAGGGCCAAGATAAACTTACTAACTCCTGAGGAAATACTGTGGGAGATGAGTGTGATTTAGTCATCATTCTGAACAGAGCCTTAAATCGATTTTGAGTGGGCTCTCCCCAGGATTAAGAGCAAATAAGCTGAGAAAAAGGAATTAAAAGGAGTCAAAATGAACATGGAAAAATTCCAAGGGGGGAGGGAATCCATTCCACCTTGAAAGCAGAAAAAAATCATCATATGATGAAGGTCTTGTTTTGCAATGTTTATATATTTTCTATTTCTTTTCACTTTAACTGAATTTTGTAACATCCTCATAGAGTTACAAGCTTATCCTGATAAACAGTCTTAGTAAAAAACTAATGCTGGAGACAATTTCCCACGGAAAGTTGCATCTTTCAGTGAAATGCCGAAACAGACTCCTCATTATGCCAGGTTAAGTAACCTAACAGCAACCACCACG